ATTCTGTTAAATTTGGTCGCAGCTAAAATTCCTTCCTTTACTACCATCTACACATTAAGGTTGGTCATCCCTGGAAGTTTAAGCAAAATCTGCCATCTGGTTTAAGAGGAGTTGCGTTCACAAAATTTCTACATAGTATATAGTGAAAAAATCAACAAAGGGCCATAATTCTGTTAAATTTGGTCGCAGCAAAAATTCCTTCCTTTACTACCATCTACATATTAAGGTTGTTCATCCCTGAAAGTTTAAGCAAAATCTGCCATCCGGTTTAAGAGGAGTTGCGTTCACAAGATTTCGGGACGTACGGACAGACAAACGGACGGACGTACGGCGTGACGGACGGACAAGTGCAACGCTATATGCTCCCACTCTGTGGGGGCATAAAAATTGAATACATAGCTAGTTCAAAGAAAGTTAAAGACAAGACATCTAAGACATTCATTATGTAAATAACAAATGAAACATAACCTACATTGTAGATGGAATGAAGGAAATATTAATAAAGGTCACTGCAAAACAATCATCACAAAATTGTGTTTGTTTATAACTGGACTTTATAAAGCAATTTTGATGTCAGAAAAAATTCCCACTCTGCATACATGAAAATGAGGGGGAAAAAAGTCAGCATTTTGTTACGACTCTTTTTCCATTAAATACCTCTATAACTAAGAAGAAACCACCGAAACATAAGTTCAAATAGTAAAATTGACTAAATAAGTCAAATGAATAATTTTTTTTTTCATTTAGGAGTTGGATAAAATATGGTCCAAAGACATATTGCTAAAGAAAGCCCAGTGTAATCAAAATTAAATGGAGGGAGAAATACAGCTCTATATCTACACAAGAACACACGCAACAAACACAAACAGACACGTACAGAACTGGCTTACATTTATGTATTTCCCTGTAACAGATGGCCATCGCCTGTAATGTGGCCTCATCTGTCGGATGCTGGTCGTGCACGTCATGGAGGATAACAGAACTGTCGTCATGGCGACCAAGTCTCAACAAAGCCAGTGACTTCAGTACCTATTCAAGGAAAAATCGTATCTGATTGTTATGTTGGGTCAAAGAATTAAATTCTGTGTCTTACTAAACTAAAATACCAAGCTGACCTTCCAGTTATAACACCCATATCTATATACATGTATATCATTATTCTAGACTAGCAGTGCTGTCACTGTACAGTGCATGTTACTTTTACTGATATAAGCCGTGTCACGGCAAAATTAACATAGTGGGTTTGTGACCAGCATGGATCTAGACCAGCCTGCGCATCCGTGCAGTCTGATCAGGATCCATGCTGTTCGCTATCAGTTTTTCTACTTGTAAAAGAGTTGGTAAGCGAACAGTATGGATCCTGATCAGACTGCGCAGGCTGGTCTGGATCCATGCTGGTCGCAAACCCATTATGTTGGTTTTGTCGTGACGCGGCTCATATCTCTTCAGAAAGTATGAAGAATGACATTATGATACAGTATATAGAAAGAAGCATCTTAGAAATTAAATCATTCTGTATTCATTTTCTATCGCAATGTATTTCAAGTAATAATTTGCTCGTTTTTCATATAAGAAAGTTGTAATTAAAGTGAATTGGTCTAATTGAAGTGTATTGGTCTAATTATAGTGTACCGGTCTAATTAAAGTGAATTGGTCTAATTGAAGTGTATTGGTCTAATTATAGTGTACTGGTTCAATTAAAGTGAATTGGTTTAATTAAAGTGAATTGGTCTAATTAAAGTGTATTGGTCTAATTATACTTATAGTGTATTGGTCTATGATCAAAAGGTTTATAATTATTAATTCAATAAATAATTACGTTGATAGTATTTAGATTCAGACAGTATTAAGATTCAGACATAACTACAAAGCATAAGAGAATTATATATGGATGTTATTGCCAAGTGTGAGATACACGATCTAATATTACATTTATTACAGATAATACAAAATATTATCATTCATAAATATTCATACTTAATCACTTCAGAACTTTATCAACATTTTTTTCAAGCAAAATTTTATAAGAAATGATACAAATATGTCCAAATGATTCATTTCTATTGTTTTATTATCAATATTTGAATGTGCTAACAGAAGACCAATCCTCTTTGATCACAATCCTTACATTGACTGATAGAAAGATATCGAAAATATAAAGTATATCAATATCATTTCTTTCTATGAAAGCACTACCGCAGAACCATTTCCGTGTTCTTTACAAGATTAAACATAAAATATTAATATATACTTACCCTGGCACATTGGAGATCTTTCTGCTTCTTCAACACTTTGTCAGCCTCTTGTAATGCTTTCTTATTATTTCCATTATCCAAACAATCTGAAAAAGTAGAAATAAATGAAACAAAATGTCCTTGAAACCATACCATGCCTAATATTTTAAATGGACTTATCCATCAATTTTGACAAAACCATTTAAGCCACGTCACGACAAAACCAACATAGTGCGTTTGCTACCTGCATGGATCCAGACTATCAGTTTCTCTACTTGTAATAGGGTTGGTAAGGGAACAGCATGGATCTAGATCAGACTGCGCAGGCTGGTCTGGATCCATGCTGGTCGCACACCCATTATGTTGGTTTTGTCATGACACGGCTCATTTATCATTTGTAGGGAATATTTCAAAATATTTTCTAACTGAACAGTGAACTGTGCAGACCATGATCAGACAGCACAAATGTGCCGAATGTTCTTTGTCTGTATCTGTTGGTAGGTAGAATTTTTTGCCATAAAAATGTAACGAGGTCGCTCACCTGTATATAGCCCCCACCCCCGCAGGGCCAATTTTAACCCAAAGGCTTTTATTTGAACAAACTTGGTAGCCACCCATAAGAAGATGTTTCATGCTAAACATCTTAGCTCTAGCTCATTGGGTTTTTTAAAAGAAGATTTTTTAAGTTTTTACTATACACATAATTATAGTTAAAAACAATGACACCCCTGGGGCGGGGCCAGTTTTGACCCCAGGGCTTTTAGTTGAACAAACTTTGTAGACACTTGCTAGAAGATGTTTCATGCTTAATATCTAAACTCTAGCTATTTGGGTTTTTTCAAAGAAGATTTTTAAGTTTTTGCTATACACATATAGGGAATATCAATGACCCCCCGGGGCGGGGCCAATTTTGAACCCAGGGCTTTTATTTGAACAAACTTTGTAGACACTCACTAGAAGATGTTTCATGCTTAATATCTAAACTCTAGCTATTTGGGTTTTTTCAAAGAAGATTTTTTAAGTTTTTGCTATACACATATAAGGAAAATCAATGACCCCCGTGGCAGGACCAATTTTAACCCCAGGGCTTTTATTTAAAAAAAACTTGGTAGACACCCATTAGAACATGGTTCATGATAAATATCTTAGCTCTAGCCATTTGAGTTCTTTAAAAGAAGATTTTTTAAGTTTTTACTATATGCATATAGGGAAAATCAATGACCCCCTGGGGCGGGGCCAATTTTGACCCCTGGGCTTTTATTTGAACAAAGTTTGTAGACCCTCATTAGAAGATGTTTCATGCTAAATATCTTAGCTCTAGCTCTTTGGGTTCTTTAAAAAGATTTTTTAAGTTTTTACTATATGCATATAGGGAAAATCAATGACCCCCTGGGGTGGGGCCAATTTTGACCCCAGGGCTTTTATTTGAACAAACTTGGTAGATACTCACTAGAAGATGTTTCATGCCAAATATCTAAGCTCTAGCTCTTAGGGTTTTTTAAAAGAAGATATTTAAAGTTTTTTCTTTCGGTTGCCATGGCAACCAGAGTTCTGCATGGAATTAAATTCTTTGAACAATTTTTAAAGGTGACCACCAAAGGAACATTTCTGTGAAGTTTGGATGAAATTGGCTTAGTGGTTTATGAGGAGATGTCATTTAAAGTAAAAGTTTACGGACGGAAGACGGACGGATGACGGACCAAAAGCGATCACAAAAGCTCACCTTGTCACTTTGTGACAGGTGAGCTAATAAAATGCTATAAACATCAATATGTCTATGAATATACATGTACGCATAACAGTGTTCAGCACTAAAAAAGTCCTATGGTACAGAGGACACCAAACACGGGGAAGGGATTTCTCAAGTCACAAGACAGGTATCCCGCTGGGACTTTTAATTTTTCAATGGAAAATATAATAAATGATTGAATGGGTTGTCAAAAAACATTAAAATATTCATTAAACAATGTACACTTGCAAAAGTCAAAATAAAAATGAAACCCACTGCTTACAAAACATGAAAATTCTCAACATTGTCCACATTAGTCATTCGCTGATATTTTGCCGTATTTTTAAACATCATGGTAAAAATAATTAGCTTAAGCAGCTTATATGATATTTTTTCAAATTAGATATTAACTGGCATGTCACAGTACTTATTATATATCATGATAAAAGTAGGCAATTTTATGATCAACATTGTACTACATTTGAGATATACAAATTTGGATTATAAATATTTACTTTTTCATGCACTGATTTTTTGTTGTTTTTTTTCCGTTCAATATAATTGAATCAACGTTTTTCACAGGTTTAAATAATACTTAAATAAATTAAAAAAATTTCAAATTTGAAGTGGGAAAATAAATTTGAAATTGATATCCATGTGATTAGTAAAGGAATTAAGAAGGGAAAAACAAAATTGCTTCTCCTTCTCTGCGCTGTTTTTTACCTGGCAGACAGAGTATGTTACGTTTTTCTCTTGATAACAAAAAAACAAAAACAATTAGGGACTTCTAATCTAAATTAAGGACTTCTAATTTCTGGAAGAGGCTTCAGGATACATGGTACTAAAAAACAATGTGTGACCAGGGTAACAAGTTTGTAGCTTAACAAGAGCGATCAGTAATCACATGTGTCGCCTCATGATGGCCAATTTCATGTTGGGACAAATTTTGTGACAGACGGACAGACAGACGGACAGTGCACAACTAGACTTTGTACTGATCATTCCTGTAAAGTTTGGATAAAATTGCACCAGTAGTTTATGAGGAGTAGTTCGGACAAGCTTTTGCGTATCTGGCAACACACAGAAAAAAACTCCTTTTTATCAAAGGGCCATAACTCGGCAAAAAATCATTCAACCGGAAAACCCGTGCAATATGCGCAAGGACTTGAGCTACAGATCAATCCTGTAAAGTTTCATTGAAATTGCATAAGTGGTATAAGAGAAGTAGTCTGGACAAACTTTAAAAATAAAAATTATTAAAGTGCCATAACTCAAACAAAAATCATTGAACTGGAAAATGCTGACAATATGCACAACTAGACTTGGTACTGATCATTCCTGTAAAGTTTGGATGAAATTGCACCAGTAGTTTATGAGCAGTAGTCCGGACAAGCTTTTGTGTATCTGGCAACACACAGAAAAAGAAACCTTTTTATCAAAGGGCCATAACTCGGCCAAAAATCATTCAACCGGAAAACCCGTGCAATATGCGCAAGGACTTGAGCTACAGATCATTCCTGTAAAGTTTCATTGAAATTGCATGAGTGGTATAAGAGAAGTAGTCCGGACAAACTTTAAAATTAAAAATTATTAAAGGGCCATAACTCTGACAAAAATCATTGAACCGGAAAATCCTGACAATATGCACAACTAGACTTGGTACTGATCATTCCTGTAAAGTTTGGATGAAATTGCACCAGTAGTTTATGAGGAGTAGTCCGGACAAGTTTTGTGACAGACGGACGGACAGACAGACAGACAGACGACGGAGAAGTGATCCCTATATGTCGCCACTACTCCGTAGAGGCGACACAAAAATCAAGGTCACACCAAGACTTTTAAGGTTCATAGATGAAAGTACATTGATGGTCATATTCTGTCATCAATTCTGTGACCTTGACCTTTCAACAGTACTCCTATTTACAACACATCATCATCATGTGATGTCTAACACATTTATGATGAGTTAAGTTATTGTAAAATCCATCCAGGAATGACAAACAACAGTGCACTTAAGTATTAAAACATTGTATCACAGCTTTAAAAGTATAAATGTGACCTTGACCTTTGGATAGCGATCTGATTCATTTGTGTGACACATCATCTTATGTCTAACACACTTATGCATAGTAATATTTAAATCCATCTAAGCAGGACATGACCATCATTGCACTTTTATAGAATTACATATCATGCCCACATTTAAATAAGATGAATGATAAAATGGATGAAATATCTGTTTTTCCAGATGATATTATCCATTGTGATATTAATTATATCACTACATTCCACCACAGATTAACTGATAAGATAATACTTATTGCTTAACTGCAGATGTTTAATACCTTTCCTGTTGCAGTGCTGATGGGGGTGAAGATTAGCATAGGTTAGCCCTAATGTATGGACATTCTAATTCCGTTACAAAAACATATGTTCTGTGAAAATTTACATATTACAAAGCAAAGAACAACAATCTACATATTCTACATATAAAACAATTCTACAGATAGATACAATCATGTACACGATAACACAATATCATTTGCTTATATTTTCCACACATGCAGGTAGAACTTCATTTAAGCAAAACAGACCTGTACCACTAGCCTTACGTTGTGAACATTTGAAAAAATCTAGTTTGGTGCCAGGAAAATATCAAGAACCTATGAAAAGCTTAATATATTTTTTGTACAGTGTCAGTGAATGTTAAAGCAAAAAACAAGACAGTTATATGCACCAGCCTATAAATTAAAATACAGGAAAACAAGGAAGTAAAAATGTTGTAGCATTTTTTCATGGTTGCAACACAATAACCTGTCATATTACGTTTTGATCTATTGAAGCACTTCTGTTTAAATTAAGTGCTTTAGCCTTTACATAAAACCTGGGTATGTTTTATGTTTAATTATTCTGCTGTTGAAACTAAGTAGCGAGTTTGTATCACTATGGCAACACTTCACATGTTTTCAAAACTGGAGCGTACATATTGAGATCATGAGAAGTGATATTCAATTGCCAAAATTCTGTTAATTTTTATGAACATCATTATTTTGAAATTATAACAAAGCGATTACAGCATTAATTTAGTCAATAATAAATTCAGTGTTTTTTTCTTTATATAACTTACTACTACCCTAAAACGGTACTGTTCCCAATAGAAAATAAACATAAAAATTCCCAATTTCTTATGATTTAATTCCCAAAATGGCTGTTCAAAATTCCCAAGTGTAAGGCCAAGTGATCTCTCTAAAATCATTAAAATTCAACATAATCACATAAAAATCACCACTCAATAGTTCTACCTGGTCAATGGAAGCTGTTAGCTATCTTTATTCATGATGACTAATCTTATTTGTAGCTGCAAAATGCATAAAAAATTCCAATTTAAGTCAAAATAACGCATTTTTTTTCAGTCTGGCAGTGTTTCTTCCAGCTCCAATTTTTTGGGGGTCATTTTTGACCACCTGTATCAGATTTTAGGGGTCACTTGAAATGTTTGAGGGTCATGCCAAACCATATATTTTATTAACCAAGAAGAACATAAAAGAACTGGAACCACTAATTTATTAGCCTCTTTCCTATAGAGTCACCGTACCAGTGCTTAACCAGTTTTTCACAAAATCACATAAAAACTCTTTGAGAACAAAAAAAATGCTGGGAAACTTATTTTTATTACAAAGCTGGCCCTTTCAAACTCACACTAAGCTAAAGCGTTTTAACGACACAGATCAGGATACAATTTACCACGGAGTTCTACATAGGGTATAAAACCACTATATTTTTCAGGCAACCAAACCAGTGCTCGACCAGGTGGTTTTATCTCTATCAGAACTTTTATTTTTTAAAAACAGATATGACTTTTTATGTTCAACAATTCTATTTCAAAAATATTTTGAAACATTTATGTTTTAGTGTCTATAGGTGTAAATATGAGAGTAAATATGATACGAAGGAAATGCTATATATTGACAAATAAAGTGTTTATAAGAGTTTTGGAATGTACATTTACTGGGGTGTTTGAGATTACTTATTCTCATATTTTTTACTAAAATCACTCTGCAAACATAGTTAAGTGTGATACTTGGTGTAATATACAAATTGTCTATGCTTTTAGTGGTGTGTTCCCGATTTGTTTTCGTACAGCTGCCATATTTTTTTACATGTTCATAGCCCCTGCCTTATATGGAAAGCTGGGTTTTGATGATTTTTGGGCGCCTTTCCTGATGGAAATAAATTCGAAACATAAGAGTTTAGGCAATTTAACAAAGTATTGTCCACATTTGCCCTAAATTATCATTATTTCAGTGTTTTGAAAAGTTTTTACTGCTACTTTTATTATAGAATAGTATTTTTGTACTGTTTAATATTGTCTGCAAAATGGCCAATCTTCTACCAAACTTGTAGTACTTGTACATCGTGTAGAGGTAACAGGTCAGGTACCAATAGCACACATAAACTCCCAGGATTTTTCCACTTTAATGCATAAATCGTACACAGATAGAATTATTGGTCGAGCACAGGTACTATGACTCTAATTCATTCAGCCATTGAAAAAAAAATAGATGTTGCATGAAAAATAATTTGAAGAATCTTTATAAACAGAAGAAAAAAATTCTTTAATTATCCCCAGTTAGCTACTGTAATTCATGCAGCTTAATATGTACTGACAACTTTAAATCTTAATCAGCAAGGCAGTTGTTTACACAGTTGCATCATCCTTCCCATATTTGGTTGTATAGCTACGTCACTAGCAGTACTGTATACAGGTAAAATGTGTAACAATTGAAAGAGAGTTGTGTAGTACATACAAGTTTGTTTTGAAAATTGGATAATTAATTGATAGAAAAGTGGACAATAATTGGATATAATTATATTGTCCTCTTGGATGCATGAAAGGGAATTTTTGTCTGATTAACAGACAATTAAATTGAAAGGTATTAAGTCGTAAGTTGTATTTTAATTTGTTAAATAGTTTGCAATGGATTTGAAATTGTCATAATTTGAGATTTACTGTAAATAAATTGAGAATAAATAACTGCATCACTGGAAACGCACAAATTGAGTCTCATTGCATCAAGGCCTTAAAAAATGTGTCAAAAACACGCTCCGGAAGAAACACTGGTCTGGTACTGGTACCGGCACCATTCCTAAGGTAAAAAAAACAAACGCTGAAATTAAACCGAAATTGGACCAATATGATAATCTTAATTTAGATTAAGACAAATTATCGGTCACCTGTATTGACAATTGTCACAGTGATTTATTCGACAGAGGTGATATTCACCAGTGTGAATTTCACCTGTTAACAGGTCTAGGATTTCATGATATTTACGGACAGTCTTTAAATTTATGGACCATCTATAATTTTACAAATTTTTTTATCTGTAAATTTATAGACATTAAATGCGAAAATAGTATAAGTTGTATTAAAATTAAAAACCACAGGTAAATAAGAATAAATTTACTGATTATATGATTAAATGTAACAGTATGATAAGATTCAGAACAATTTGAAGACTTTCAATTTTCACTTTTAACAAAAATTTCAAAGTCATCATACAAAGATGAAACTTATCTTATTACCTTTGTTAATAGAAACAATCAATATAACAACTTGTTTTAAGCTGCGGATTTTAGTATAAAACTAAAAACAGCAAATTTAACATTGAGGATCTGTAAATTTATGGACTGAAAAATCTTTAAATTTATAGACTATCCATAAATTTACTGACAGTCCATAAATATCATGAAATCCTAGACCTGGTTAAAGTCAGGGGTGGTATCCACCAGTGTGAATCTCACCCGGTAAAGTGAGGATCGGAAAGGCGCAACTATTGCGGTACATTGGCAGTTACTCCATTCGGGGTAATTTGAAAAACTTGTTTAAGCTGAACAGTATCAAATTTATGATTCAATCATACAGAACTTGTAACGGTGAACCTGAAAACTGTCATGCATCTACAAAAAATGCTAAGTTTCACACATGTACTAGGCAAATAAGGTATTTTTGAAGAAAGAGAAAACTTAAATCCTTTTAATTAAAAATAAAGCAATGTAAAATTAACCATAAATAGGTCGAAGTCTTCTTTCAACCACTTCAGGGGATACTTTTGCATTATCCACATGGCTACGCGACGCCATGTTTGACAATTTCTCGCGGAAGCTTGCGAGAAAAAATCGGAAAATCCGATTCAACTACCAAAAAGAAGAAAAGGTAACAAAAAGAACACCGGAAGTATTTACAAAGGAAAAGCTGGCTGGTATTACGAGATATGGCAAATATACATGTATATGAAATGTTAATTAGATGTTAATTATATGTGATGAATGTGACCTATTAATTAGAAATAAACTCTAGTCTGTTATGTTCCATTATGTTCTTTTCTATTCTATTCTATTGTATATTCTATTCCATTCTATTCTGTTCTTGCGGGCACTTTATGTTTGACCTGTGTTTGTCTCTTCATTGGCCCATAAGAACTGGATCCTGGTACTGAAAATATTTTCATAAAATTTTATAAATGTTTAGATGACAGTGTGGTGATTATGTACATCATTTTATTTTCAGAAAAATATTGTTGCCATATATGGTAACAAATAGACTTAAAATATAGCAAAAATACCAGTGTATAATTTGTTTCCATCTATAACTATATATAATTGCATATTTTTCCGTCCGTGAAACTGACTCACGTGATCATCTCTTTTATAGTACAAAGAACTATCAAACAAATTTGCATAAAATAGAGCAAAAATGAATGACTAGTTATATAAAGTAGTACTGAGAAAATTTGATTAGCTGTTGTATAAACATATTTTCTTTAATATGAGGTAGGGGAAAGTTAACATATTTCGACAAAAGGACAAAACCTCGAGGATGTACGTAAGATTTCAAAAGTTAATTCATATCTTCCTCAATAGCATAATTTAAATATTTTTTTAGGCGTTCTTTATTGTTTCTTTTTTCTATATGGGTGGCTGGAATAATCATTTATTATATATCTTGCAGCTGCTTGAGCTTATTGATGAATAAATGATTTTTCCCGAGGGTGCCAAACTGTGTTATAATGCTTATGTCGGGGGCCTTACTCATTAATATATTTGTAATTTGCTTGGATCTCTTTTAATAAATCTCAGGGTGTTCATGGACTTAAATGATCCTTTTTTATGTGTGAGTTTTGTTGTTGTTGTTGTTTTGTCTACCGTCTTGTAAGACTTACTAAACAAATAATTATTTTCAGTTTCTTGATGTCCGACCCCATGGAGTTTATAGGGAATGGAAAAATTTCCTTAAGATTTGAATAATTTTATATAATTTCACATTTATCTGTATTAAATTCCATTGAGCATCTCCTGTTTAAAAGATTTTTATTAAATAGTGTTCCTTATCAAACAATTTGATTTTTCATGAAATTTCTTCGACATATCAGACAATGTTTTCGTTAATTTTACCCTTTCTAGAAATTTCATCTGGCATGTTGGCAGGGCAGATGAAATAGTGAAAACAAATCCCTAAAAATCAAACATGGCAAAATTGAAAATGTTGGAGGCTCAGTTTGATTGAGCCTGTTAGTGGACGGTATTAGTAATTGCATGTTACTATCCACCCCCTAAGCACCAGCTTAAGCCGAATCCAACATTTTAACACAAAAACTGTAATGTAATATGAAATCCAGAAACATCCGCAGATATGTCCATCAGGCGGTGATCATGGAACCCTCAATGTGACACGTTGGTGCCATTCCATGACAAGCGGCTATGGTCCACAATTAAGAAAATGCGTGTGAAGGACACAATACCACTCCTGTTCATTTTTCCCCAGAAGTATTCTTCTGTGGAATGGCCTACCCGTGTCCTTACAAGCTAGTCCCAGTTTAGACCTCTTTACTTAGCAGCTGCAACCTTTTTATCAGTTCTAAGCCAGCTTTGTTTTTAACTTTTATCTCAGTCTTGTAGTTCTTTTTAACTTGCTTTTATCTTATGTCTATAAATTTGCACTTAACATATTTGTTTTTAACAGCTATTCCCAGACAACGCACCTGCTTAGTGTAATTGATAACGATTTTGAAGCAGTATAATGTAGATGTAGATGAATCACGAGTTCCAAAGTAACGTCTTTTTGTGCATTTTAGAATGATACGCTGTTTTTAAGATGAAGTCATTTCCCATGATAAATAGTTTATTGAGATAAACCATTCAAAATTTAGTAATGTTTTTGTTGTTCAGATCATTTCCCTCATGACTGATGTTCTGATCCGAACTGCAAAATATGACAGATATTACCAACTTCATTTAATAATAATCATTAAAATGTAATGAAAATTTGGACAACAAAATTACATGAAAATTGCAGACTCGGTTTGATTGCGTATGTACATGAGTGATAATGAATAAGTGCAACATCCCTCGGACCCCTAGTATTGGCTTGAGCGGAACTCAATTCTCAACACTTAATAGTGCTGGCATCAATGATGAAACTTCAATTTTACTTATAGATCAATTGGTCCATGATAGATGGTTTGTAATTCCATAAAAATATATGCTGAAAGTATGTAGTACCATATGTTATCACAACGAAATAAATATATACGGAAGTTGTTTGTTAGTGTGTGATACATGAATTTATATATTGATCTAGAACAAAATATTATTATTATCATTATTTATATAAATGTCCATACAAAACCAAAAATAACTTTATTAACATTTTTTTCAAGAAATATCTTATAAGAATATCTAAATGATACATTGTTTTTATCAATATTTAAAATACATAAACGCCGGGTCTCACTTGGCTAATACAGTGGCAGTAAAGCCATTAAGCATAATTGTACAGTAGGCTGGACTTATTTGACTGACACATAATTTATTGTAACATAAAAAAAACGTTATCTCATATAAACAATACCTCGTACGTGTAGTGTATTTTGAGAAACAGCGGTTTACATCAATATCTAATTACATTTGTTCAACTTAAAGGGACTCCACTGAGTTTTTTTATATGAAGGGACCGGAAATATTTATTCAAGATTTTTGTGTAACTGAATGAAAGTATGGACCAATAGTTCATCTGCAAAATTTCAGATTATTTGTTCTCTCCGCTTCCCAAGTATAATAACTTTATTGCTACATTTGACCCCAAAATGGAAAGCGTTGCAAAGCCTTTTACTGAAACTGGTACACAAAATGCATACTTCGACTATCAATTTAGTACCAAGTATATTTACATATTGCCTGTTGCATAGTTATCCATTTTAAGTGCACTAGCTGATTTTAAAAGAATTTCAAATTTTATGATTTTAGGCCATTAGACCTCAGTGGCGTTCCTTTAATAATGTAATTTCTAAATGCACAGTAAATTACTTAAAGCTGCATGCCTCCAGATGAGCCAAAATATTTCAATAAAATCAATATTGAGAAAATGCACTAAAGTTTTAAGAAAGGTTAAAACATTCAACGTCCAAGTTATATTTTACATGTTATGTGCGGTTTAACACTGATTTTGCAGCATTTTATCACCATATTTCTACTGCGTTACTAACGCAGTGAGGGCTGTTTTTGTATATGTTGGCCACTTTTGGTAATATTCGTGGATTGTAAGTGCCGATTGCAAAATGTAAATTACTTTATTTGTTCACCTGACATTATTTTACTTTTAAATACATTTTCAAAATTTTTATGAAAATTAACATGAATCTGGAGGCGTGCTGCTTTAAATATCTTTTAATTTTTCAAGAGTTTAATCTTTAATTCATGTTTACTTCATTAAATTTCTTTCTGTATCATGAACTGTATAGAAACTATACGGATAACCTACATTTTGTACAATGGGGCAGCTTTCTGGAAATAGAACTAGATATAAATCACATTTATCTACAGCTTTCAAGTTGCTGATCGACTTTTTAAAGTACAAAAAATGTAATTAACTCTAAGGATGCAATTTTGGACCCGTTATTAACAGATAAGTTGCAACACCTGGGATTAACTATAAATTTGCAACAAGCTAATTCAGGGAAACACTAAATACTTCATAGAATTACAAATGTAATACTTGATCTTTAATAAAGCAAAAATATCAAATATATATATAGATGATCAATTTATTCATGATATAAAATATCAATGAAACACTTTGTCACAGGAACCGTTGAATGCAATAACAATACTTTATATAAATCACAGTGAGTTGGGATACAATATAAATGTTGTAAGGAATAATCATAAGTATTTAACTTTTTTTAAACAGAGTGTCGTTAAGTCACGAGCAGCAGAGGCAACAATAATCAGAAATTTACCCACAGTATAATATTACTGTGACTTTAGAATTGAAATAGATAATAAAAGTGAGGAATGTCTGTATTGTGTTTCATAAACATTTATAACAAATGACACAGCTTTATGGGGAGATGAAACTATAGCATCTTATTACAACTCTAAATTACAAAGGAAAATTGTAATAGATTTTGTGTATATAAATTTCAATGTGAAAACTCTCTCACGATCAGTCAGAGAAAGCGTGACACAATGAGTTAGTGATATTCAGTTTGCTGTTAGAAGTTCATGACCTCAAAATAGGCTTTTGGTTTATCAGCTACAGGGAAATTTGAATTTGTAGTAAACAACATCAAAACTTTTTTATTATTTAAAAAAGCTCATTATAGAAATATTAAAAAATATTCATAAAAAAATAAAACTGGAGTCGATATGAAACCAAATTTATTAATGAAATGTCGCTATTTCGGTTTTCTTGAAATTTATTTCATGCAATTTTAATAAACAAAAGTCATTTTAATATATATTATCAGTGGCATAAAGAAACATTTTGCCAATTTCAAAGTAATTTGTGTGAAGGAACCATAGAAAAATTAAGATTTTATTTCAATGTTTTAGCTCTTCAATGGCTTGTGTGTAACTGAAAAGTAGATTGTAGATCAATTCACTTTAGCAAATGAAATTTAATTACCAAGAAAAATGCTGAACAGGTATAACGCTGAAAATGCAAATGGGTCATTATAAGTCTATTTTCATAAAAAATCACTTTATATATCAAAAATGATAAAAAAATTCATAAATGTTGATATAAAACAACCAGGGGATTTATAATACAAAAGTATGAGAAAAAATATGTGGCCAGTTACGTTCATAATTCACTGATTTCAAATCATTATTTCAAAGTTTTTAGCAATATTATAATGTATCACTAAATTCTCCAGATATTGATCATTATCGAACAATTGATCCTTATTTTGATACGATTAATCTTTTACTTTATCATTATTCATTTAATTTATCCAAAATATTTTTTTCTTTCTTCACAAATATCATTTTTTGATATTTTGATTTTATACCATATAAATTTAGCCCAAGACTAATATATTTTGTAATATATTTTGTTTAATTTAATACAGTAAAGAAATTAAAATGTATGTAATTTGATTCTGATCCAGATTTTATCTGATTGAACACGAGACAAGAGCTATTAATGGATATAAATCTAACTATCTATCTCTTCGAAGTGCGAAGAATTCCATATCACCAACTACAAAACTTTAATCAAACACCAATATATGCACCATGGCCAAGACCTAGAATCGGCCATTGCTAAATACGTCGGTCGAGATCTTTCTGCTGACCTTAAATTTATGGGTGCCACTAAAATATGCAACGGAGATTTTTTGGCGCAACGGACGCAACGGGCGCAACGGAGATATTTTTTTAGAAAAACCGGCACGCCTTTTTTTAAAAAGTCAATGTGCTATATTTAAGCATCTAAAATGACTGTTTAGCACTATTAAGTAAGTATGTTTTAGAATGTTTCATAAATTGTATCTGTTTAATTGCACTGAAGGCTTATATATGCCTGGCGAAATGAAAATTTCATGGCGCAACGGAGATAATTTTGGAAAATCGGCACAACGTATGTACAAATATATGAAATTAATTAACACTAATGTTATTTGAATAAATAAATTTTAAAAAAAGATATAAAAACCTTAATCGTATATCAAATAGCTGCAATGTTGATGTTGTAAAGGATTGTGTGCCGGCGAAATGGACATTTTGTCTGCGCAACGGAGTTTTTTTTTTTTTTTTTTGGCGCAACAGAATTTAAAAAGAAAACAATGTTTGTCCTAAGTAGTGATATGAAGAAGTAAATCGTTAAAGATATTAACTGAATTACTGAAGTGGTGTAACAAAAGTCTGTTTTATTAATTTAATAAATGGAATTAAATATTGTTTGAAAGATTATATGAAAATTGACTGATGAAATTATTAAAATAACAAAACGACATGCATGTAGAATTTGCTGTTCTTCCTATTTCCATTTTAAAACAGTAAAAAAACATAAAATAATTAAATTGAACTTTACTTATAACAATTCCTTCCCGAATTAGAAAAAAAACCCGTTAAAATCAAATCAAATAATTGTTTATTTAGCGAAACTGTTTAAAAATGGTAATTGGTACTGTACGCAAAAATGTATAACAGAGCATGCTTCTAGGTCTCTATACGGTTTAATATCTATTTTAAATAACATTGAATTACCTGTGAAACAGATCCTTCAACTATTTGATAGTCTCGTTGGTTCGATCCTCCATTTTGGTTCGGAAGTATGGGGAATGCACGAAGCAACAGACGTGGAATTAGTTCACACAAAATGTTTACGTCGAATCTTATGCGTTAAACGTTCCACAAATTTATCCGCTCTTTACGGTGAGCTAGGGCGCATGCCACTCTAAGTTTACAGAAAAATCAACATAATAAAGTACTGGGTGAAAATTTTAAAACTTTCAGATAACTCATTAGTTAAAAAACGTACATTTTTCTTAAGTCAGATGTTGAAAACAGGGTAAATTATAGAGGGGAAAATTGGGCCGGCCAAGTTAAAAGTATACTGGAAACACATGTAGAAACCTGAAGAAAATAACTCACAAAAATTGTATTTGTGTCAAGACTTTGTAAAAATAACTAACACAAAATTATATTTGTTAAAACAATTTGTATGCTTTTTTCTCTTTTTGGGCCAATGTATATATTTGTATGTGCTATAAGCATTGTAAAATGTTTAATGCAATAAAGATATTGAATTGAATTGAATATTTAGCGAAACAACAGCAATTTGGTGATTGGCAGATTGTTTATCACGGGTGTTAAGTACCGATAATTAAATTACCAATGACACGTGGTTGATGTTTATTGAACAAGCGTTTTCACACCATTTAGATAATGTAATTAAGAGGAAACATGTATTGACTTTAAGATATTAAATAATTTTTTATAACTTGTTATTGTCGAAAAAAATGCTTTTGAAGCTTACTATGCCAATATTTCACTCAAACTATGAGAAAAAATGTATATTAAATGTGAGACGTAATAAAACATTTTGGAGATAAACTAAATTGTTTAAGTTACAAATTATATAAGAAATAGATGAGACTATATATTTTTTGTCAATATAACTACACTTCTTCGTATCATAATTTACATTATAGTTGAAAAAATAAAGTACATGTAATTCTCGAAATACGTTTAAATTAAAATTAATCGAAAATATGAAGATCGTTTTCAAGTAACAACCAATTATTGTTTGATTATAATATAATAAAACTATTATGATAATCCCCGTTGCGTCGAAATGTGTCCATTTCGCCGTAATTTAAATATCTTTTACAATATCCTATTTTCAACATTTTCTAAAATAAAGGAAAATAAATCATTTTTAATTTAAAAGACTGTTACTTGTTATTCTCAAATTCTTAAGTTATGTTAAAACATAAGATCTATCCGTTATGCAAATCTTTATTTTACATGTACGTTGCGCCGAAATTATGTCCATTTCACCGTCCATTTAGAATCTGATATACTCAGTATTCTACCTAGTAAAATCAAATATGTACAGTATATGTATAAAATATTAACAATACCAACTTATATAATTATTTTATGTTTTAGACATAAAAAACAGTACACAGTTTTGAAAATAAAATCTCCGTTTCGCAATAATCAATCGGCGTAACGGAGTTTATGAAAGGTATAACATCAATAAAATGAATGTTCATAATAAAAAATGCTTAAAGTTGATTCTGTAATATCAACATATGACTTTATTTAGCATATACTAATGCAAATTCAATAAAAAGTACTTTGTTTGCGAGTTTTGAAAAAAGTAAATCTCCGTTGCGCCAATGAATTTTTGCGCAACGGAGATATGAGCGGTATTACAACAATACAATGCTTATAATGTAGAAAATATTGTTTTTAAATGATTTCTATAATTTCAAAATATTATTTTATTCAGCACATACTAACATAAAATTTAAAAATGCATGGCGTATTTATTGTCACATTTTAAATTTTGCACTCCGTTGCGCCCGTTGCGTCCGTTGCGCCAAAAAATCTCCGTTGCGTATTTTAGTGGTACCGTAAATCTATACACACATATATCTAGAATAACTTCGAAGGCACATATACAGTTTCACCTTTCCTTCCTCCAAGGTATGTAGTTTGGTGGGTAGCTAGGTAGATTGTTACACTGTTTTGTTTCCACGGGCACATATTTACTTATACCTGACATGGCTAAGTGGCCTAAGTGTCTTTCTGTGAGTATGTGAGCGTCGCCTTACCTTGTTGATCTTTGGTCTCATTTTTTTTCTCGTATTTTTTATTCTTTAGGTTCATTGCAACGACCTTCACCTACAAGGTCCGCGCTGATTTCAACTGCATAATGCAAAAAGAGTCGTTTCAGTTTTTAATTTTGCATAAATTGTGAAGCGATGGCCAAAATGTACATCGATTGATAGCGTATCATTTATTGTACGATATGCGGTTGCTAAAGCCAGCGTGGGTTAACCACAAAGAAGGTATATTTTCTATTGTACTAGTTGTCGGATAGTCACGATTAAACTGGAAAAGAGTCAACTCGGCCCTATACCAACTCGGCACGGTTCAACTCGACACGGGTCAACTCGGCCAGCTTTACAAAAATATATATAACGTATTAACTTTGCTTTGCATGTTGTTAAGGTAAATGAATAATAAGAAATGTAATGTCCGATTTTAAAATTTATTACACAAATTAAAAGCTGGTGATCTTAGCTTCCTCTCAGTATATATTTCCAGGGCTCATCTGGAAGGGCGATTCAGGCGAAAACTTCGCCGTGTATATTTCCATTTCGCTCTCCCAATTGATCAAAGAGAAGTCAACATCGCCGATAAAATCTTAATTCCCAAAGAGTAATTACTTGGCGATGTAAAGAGCAGAGATTGTATCCGCCTATATGACGACTGCTAATTATCATTATCCAATCAGAGCGTCGCTTTATACTACCCGTCTACCTGTATGCAAAGCGATAGACCGCCTACTCTAATAAGTAAAATAATGAGAGCATCGGCCCGAAACGGGTTTAATTGTGTGTGACAGTTTTGCGAGTTTAATACGGGATTAGGCGATAATTATAGATTGTTTTTTCCCGAACATCTAAACACATGCAAATCTTCCCTAATTGATATACACGCGGTGTTTAACCCGAGTAACGGTGATTTGCAATGGGTTTTTCACGGCTATCACAAAACTGTTAGTCAATTTAAAATAATCAATTTCATTACTGATCAGCGACTGGATTAAAAACTTAATCATATTCTGAATGATTTCAGTCCGTTAACATCAATTAAAAATTGTTATGTCGCCCACGTCATGGCTACAAAATGCCCAAAACTAGCAGTAAAAGAAAGTTACTGATTCTGATACATCTATGCGAAAATTTAGAAAGCCAATTCGCAAAAATCTTACGATTGGTATATTGTAGACAATGAGAGTGTTTGGCATTGTTATCTTTGTAGAAATGCCAAATTTGACACAGCTTACGCACGTGGGCACGACATCCCGGAAAAACTACGAATCATGATCGGCATGCTACATATCGGTCGTATATCATGACGTGTACATGTATATAACAACAAAATAGTCAGGAAAGAAGTGTTCTTATTGTTTCAAAATAGATATGTGTTTTAATGTCATAAATATGACGCTCAGATTAAGATTGATCAATATTGTAAATATCAAAAAGCATTATTTATAAAGATATTACAAGTTTAACATTTCAGGAAAATAAAGGGAGGTAATTAGAAATTTATTTTCTATAATTTCTCAGTCAAATTTTTCAATAAGAAATGAATGTATATAATTTTAGTGATCAAATATAATGTGCACAAATGTTGCAGTACATATTTTACATATTCTTCGATGTTTGAAAATTGTTTTATAAGCATAATTATATGCACATAAATATGGCATTACAACATAATAGGTCATAAAAGAATTTCTGTAATCAGAACAGAATAGACAGATACTGTGAAACAATATCAAATGTAACTTTATATTCTATTAAAAGTGAGGAAAGTAGTTATATAAAATTAGCTTATTCATCATATTTTTTCTTACACTTCATTATCAATAAATCTACATGAAAATACATAAACAAATATTTAGAGAAAGCTTATAAATAGCTGATTTATATTATAGTTAACGGATGTATAGCCATGCATGTTAATGCATACACATTGGGTTGTTTCCCTTCTCCCTATTTTTTGCGAAGATGTCACTTCTCCCTAAAATTTCCACCCAGGATGAGCCCTGATATTTCAACACATTGTTTGACACTGAAGGTATTTAGAAGTTTCACCTACCACAATGAGATACTCAATCGGTTATCTTTACTCGCAATTCTACTGATAAGAAAAGCCTGTCTGCTGCTAGTTCCGAAACTGTTAATCCGTGTATTAAAAATAATTACAATAAATAGTGATAACACAAACCTAAACATTAATAATTGAAAATTGGGCCGAGTTGACCCATGCCGAGTTGGAATAGGGCTGAACTGACTCGGGGCCAAGTGCGTTTTAGGGCCGAGCTGACCCGGATTCGATTAAACTTATTATACTTATTATTTTTAATCAAAGAAGGGATCGTTTCGTGTGGCCGTTTAACACTGTGTACAGATTGTTCGATTTTTTGTCAGTTGTGCAATGCCCTACTCTGTACAAATGTTAAGTTTTAAGATAATGTGGATCTCAACAATAAATCCATCAACTTCAAAATTATACATTGAAATTGAAGATAATTTTACTCATCTGTCAGTTCTTTAAATGTAATGTCAATTTTTAGGTCGGGCAATATTTTGTATCAACATGATATATAGGCATTATTTTATTCATCTGTCCGTTCTCTAGAATTACAGTCAACCCGGCCCCAAGTTAACCCGGCCTTGAGTGAATCCGGCCCCAAAATTAGTCAACCCGGCCCCAAAATTGGTCAATCCTTTTTTAACTAATAATAAAAAAAGGGCCAGGTTGACCGGATATCAGATTGAATTGGGGCCAGATTGACTAATTTGGGGCCGGATTCACTTGAGGCCGGGTTGACTTGTACCGGTTCTCTAAATGTAATGTCTATTTTCAGGTCAGGGAATATTATCTATATATATTGTATTGACATGGTTTACAATTTTATCTCTTTATTTAATGTTTATTTTTAGGTCGGCCAATATTTTCCATTGACATACATCCAGATGGATCAAGGTTTGCTACAGGAGGGCAAGGTGTGTAATACTAGTGTCCCTGATAAATCCAGTATGCCATAATATGGCAATCTTTTGAATTTGAACTATAACATGGAATAAAAAAGATTTATTATGCCACTGCATCTGCATATTCAGGGTTTTCATTTTTATCTGAGGCAAGAAAACAAGCAATTTTGCCAATGGTCAAGGGTGATACTTCAATATACATGCTGAAAAATTTAACTGATTTTAACAGCATTTAAATTGATTGTTTGGATTGCCAATCGGTTAATAATAAAACTCTGTTTATTTCATGTATGTAAGTGATTTTCAGTCTTTCATTATTTGATCTGTCATTAAAACTGACCAAACATTTTTTAGCTCACCTGTCACAAAGTGACAGGGTGAGCTTTTGTGATCGCTTTTCGTCCGGCGTCCGTCCTTCCATCCGTAAACTTTTGCTTAAAATGACATCTCCTCATAAACCACTAAGCCAATTTCATCTAAACTTCACTGTTCCTTTGGTGGTCACCTTTAAAAATTGTTCAAAGAATTTAATTCCATGCAGAACTCTGGTTGCCATGGCAACCGAAAGAAAAATCTTTAAATATCTTCTTTTAAACAACCCTAAGAGCTAGAGCTTAGATATTTGGCATGAAACATCTTCTAGTGAGTGTCTACCAAGTTTGTTCAAATAAAAGCCCTGGGGTCAAAATTGGCCCCGCCCCGGGGGGTCATTGATTTTCCCTATATGCATATAGTAAAAACTTAAAGAATCTTCTTTTAAAGAACCCTAAGAGCTAGAGCTAAGATATTTAGCATGAAACATGTTCTAATGAGTGTCTACCAAGTTTGTTCAAATAAAAGCCCCAGGGTCAAAATTGGCCCCGCCCCAGGGGGTCATTGATTTTCCCTATATCCATATAGTAAAAACTTAAAAAATCTTCTTTTAAAGAACCAAAATAGCTAGAGTTTAGGTATCAAGCATGAAACATCTTCTAGTGAGTGTCTACAAAGTTTGTTCAAATAAAAGCCCTGGGGTCAAAATTGGCCCTGCCCCGGGGTGTCATTGATTTTCCTTATATATGTATAGCAAAAACTTAGAAATCTTCTTTGAAAAAACCCAAATAGCTAGAGTTAAGTTATTAAGCATGAAACATCTTCTAGTAAATATCTACAAAGTTTGTTCAAATAAAAGCCCTGGGGTCAAAACTGGCCCCGCCCCAGGGGTGTCATTGTTTTTAACTATATGTGTATAGTAAAAACTTAAAAATCTTCTTTTAAAAATCCCAATGAGCTAGAGTCTAGATATTAAGCATGAAACATCTTCTAATCTAGTGAGTGTCAACAAAGTTTGTTCAAATAAAAGCCCTGGGGTCAAAATTGGCCCCACCCCGGGGGTCATTGATTTTCCTTATATGTGTATAGCAAAAACTTAGAAATCTTCTTTGAAAAAACCCAAATAGCTAGAGTTTAGATATCAAGCATGAAACATCTTCTAGTAAATATCCACAAAGTTTGTTTAAATAAAAGCCTGGCCCCCGCCCCAGGGGTGTCATTGTTTTTAACTATATGTGTATAGTAAAAACTTAAAAAATCTTCTTTTAAAAAACCCAATGAGCTAGAACTTAGATGTTTAGCATGAAACATCTTCTTATGGGTGTCAACCAAGTTTGTTCAAATAAAAGCCCTTGGGTTAAAATTTGCCCTTAAGGGGGGGGGGTGTTGGGTTGGGCTGGGGAGGGCCTATATACAGGTGAGGGACCTCAGGGCCATCATGGCCCTCTTGTTTCATTTTGTTATTTTGGTTAGTATATAGAATGTTACAGAATGCTGATTCACCTACACATGTATGTGTTAATTAAGCCTTTACACAATTAAGTGTCTAGGACTATTCATGTACTGATTTATGTTTTTAATTTTAACTTTTTATTATAAATATATTTTAGGAGATGATACTGGAAAGATCATTATCTGGAACATGGCACCAGTCCGTGATGAGCTGGCAGACAAGAATGAAAACGTTCCAAAAATACTCTGTGAAATGGACAATCATCTTGGTAACATTTATGATTCCATTCAGTTATTTATGAATTACAACATTCCTTGAAAATTACATGAAAGAAAAAATGTAATTGAATAAAATATATTTATTGTGTGTTACTAAATCTTTTGCTGTTGAAAGATAAGTATTTCACAATGATAAAAGTATATTAAGAAAAATAAAGTTACATTATCATTCTGCACATCCAAGTTTAAATGGTGAGTGTACAGGTCAAAGTTAAAACAACTTCAGATTTTTAGATAATTGTTTCCAATTTTATAATCTAGTTCATGTGTATAGTCAATATCCCATGTCACAAGAAAATTCTATAAATATCCTTTGGAATGTCTGTATCATTAATGTTCAATTGATAAAAAGAGTGGGGCAGTCTTTTTATATGTAAGGCAGTTGTTACATTTTATCGGAAATTTGTTTCAGTATCAGTAATGAATTATATTGGCCGATGACCATTATGGCATTATGATAGTCAAAAATCTTTTTAGATATATAGCCAATACAGCTCAATTTGATAACAGAAAAATGAGCGTTATGTCACTTTAACTTATATCAACAAATATTAAAAGTGTCATTGACTGACTTATAAGAATGCATGATTTCAGCATGTGTGAATAGTGTGAGATGGTCAAACAGTGGACGATTCCTGGCCTCAGGTGGCGATGACAAACTTGTGATGATTTGGCATATTACTAAGTAAGCGGTTGGCTTATGAATTGAAAATTTCAATGTATAACAATACAAACATAAAAGGGATATCTGGTTTTAATCTGATGTGTCATGACTGACTGACTTATCATCCACTGGTATGAATTAGGGGGCATGAGAGATGATGCACCTTTGTTTATCTCTCATGGACACGCTCGATTAAACTGAGTATGCAATTTTCACCTATTTACTGTTAGTTTATACTAATTTTATTATACCCCCACCACAAAATGTGGGGGGGGGGCTATAATGGATTCGCTTTGTCGCGTCGGTCGGTCGGTCGGTCGGTCCGTCCGTCTCCATTTTCGTGTCCGCTCTATAACTCCTATACCACTTGAAGGATTTTCTTCAAACTTGGCTCAAATGTTCACCTCAGCAAGGGGATGTGCAGAACCCATGTTGCCCATGTGTCAGCTCAAGGTCAAGGTCACAATTGAAGGTCAAATATCAAACACAATCATATATATAAGACAGTATGTCGTGTCCGCTCTGTAAGTCCTACAATAATTGAAAAACATTTTCTTCAAACTTGGTTCAAATGTTCACCTCAACAAGGGGATGTGCAGAACTTATGTTGCCCATGTGTCATCTTAAGGTCAAGGTCACAATTGAAGGTCAAATCAAACAATCAAATATTACACAATATGTCGTGTCCGCTCTGTAAGTCCTACACTTATTGAAAGATTTTCTTCAAACTTGGTTCAAATGTTCACTTCATCAAGGGGATGTGCAGAACCCATGTTGCCCATGTGTCATCTTGAGGTCAAGGTCACAATTGAAGGTCAAATATCAAACAATCAAATATTACGCAGTATGTCGTGTCCGCTCTGTAAGTCCTACACTTATTGAGAGATTGTCTTCAAACTTGGCTCAAATGTTCACCTCAACAAGGGATGTGCAGAACCCATGTCACCCTTTTGCCGGCTTAAGGTCAAGGTCACAATTGAAGGTCAAATATCAAACAATCAAATATTGCGCAGTATGTCGCGTCCGCTCTGTAAGTCCTACACTAATTGAGAGATTTTCTTCAAACTTGGCTCAAATGTTCACCTCAACAAGGGGATGTGCAGAACCCATGTCACCCTTTTGCTGGCTTAAGGTCAAGGTCACACTGAAGGTCAAAATTTGACTTAGAAAATGTTCTTAAATTTTAACATATATCTGAATATTTCTGAATCTAGGAAAGGTATTTGGTTGAAACTTAAAATATATATGAAATGTCACAATTAAGATATGCTGGTCAAGTTTCATAACTCTGTATTGCATTTAAACAAAGTTATGCCCCTTTTAATCTTCAAATTTACATACAATCACATATTAGACAATATGTCGTGTCCGCTCTATAAATCCTATACTAATGGAAGAATTTTATTCAAACTTTACTCAAATGTTCACCTAAACAAGGTTATGTGCAGAATCCATGTCACCTTTGTGCAGTCTAAAAGTCAAGGTCAAAAATTGACTTAGAAAATGTTCTTAGATTTTAACATGTTCTTGAATATTTCTGAAACTAGCACAGGTATTTGCTTGAAACTTAAAAGATATATGAGGTGTCACAATTACGATATGCAGGTCAAGTTTCATAACTCAGTATTGCATTTTGACAAAGTTATGCCCCTTTTAAGTCTTTAAATTTACATACAATCAATACTAGAAATATATGTTGTGTCCGCTCTATAAATTCTATACTAATGGAAGGATTTTCTTAAAACTTTACTCAAATGTACACCCCAATTGGGCGATGTGCAGAACCCATCTTACCCTTGTGCCAGCTTAAAGGCCCAACTGGACTATAAAAGCCAGCAGATGGCGCTAGGGCAGGTTTCTTATTAATTTTATGCATGCTTCACTTCAGGGACCCTTTTTCAAAGATTTAAGATTAATTACCAAATGCATTTAAAACAACACTTGGCATGTTTGTAGGCAAAGATATTTTTGATAAAGATTGACCAAAAATATTCAAAAATATAACTTTGTTAAGTGTATTTCTGGAAAAAAATACTGGCTGTCAAATTTTGAAATTTGAATTTCCCTGGGAGGAGCCATGTGATCATTACAGGTCATGAACCTTCAGTAGTAAACAGACGCACGTGGCAGTGTTTATTTCAGGGAGAGAGATTTGTAGCAGACGATGTATATTTCAGGGAGGGAGATTTTCAGCAGACGACACATTGGAATGCTGAATAAAACAATAACTTTTACTGACTTGCTTTATCAAATCCAACAAATTTACAATAATCCATTAATCTATGATTTTTTTTTAATTTCAAAGTACTGATTTAACTTGTTTTTGAATGGTTTAAACTTCATGAAAACAGTAAAAAACTTCCAGGTATATTTCATTTACTTGTAAATATCTTGTAGTCAAAAAATTACATTTCACAAATGTTAATCAAAACTAAATGTTGGATATGCATAAAAAATTTATACATTAACAGTTTAAAAGTATTTTAAATTCCTGTCAAGAACATTTTTTAGCAGGTTGTTCCTAAAAGAAATGCCCCATGTAAGGCACATCTTTTGGATTTTGATATAATTGTCTGACTTGATGAATGACACATAAAGCATTCCAGTGAAAAAAAAAGAAAAACAACTGACTTCAAAAATAGTATCTGGACAAGATGACTTGATAATGTCTTTAATTAATCTTTGAGTATTAAACCTCTCCTGTGTAAAATCAGCTGTTTTTGTTTACATTCTCTCTGCAGGTTAACACTGCATGCTATTTATAGTTCAGGGTTTATAACAGACAGTTTTATATCACTGATTAGTCACACCCACAAATACTCGCTGCCGCGGCAGCGAATGTTGCCCCTTTAAGGTCAAGGCCACACTTGAAGGTCAAAAATTGACTTACAAAAAGTTTAGTATATTGGGAAAATGTAAGGTTATTTGTAACTGTTTCGAACATGATTTGATAATAGATATTTATACTATTACCTGTACAATAAGTCTTTTTTTCAACAGAGATAATTTCTTTTTATGTATTTGTGCGACTTAAGTTATTTCCTTAACCACCTTTCCAAGTCGTCTTCTGTCAAGGACATTGGTGGGGGTATGAATCGCATTCAGCGATAGTTCTAGTTTTAGTTTGATTGTGTTGGCAGCTATAAGCTTATTGAAACACTTTGGAATCTTTTCCTATAACCAACCAATACTTAGCAAAGATGTAAAGTTTCTTGCTCACAGAAATAACGGCTTGCCCCAGACGGGGTTTGAACCCATGCAACCAGCAATCTATAGGTTACTTCTCTGACATGTTTACTACTCAGACATTTCACCACTATTATTATCATATTTACTATGTTGTCACAGCTGTCTTGGGATCTCTACTTTTTCCAGATTTTAATACATAATCAATTTTGTAAAGAGATACAATTTATGTCACATGTTTTACTGTATGTGTAGAAATTTTCGCAGTCTTCAAATTTTCGCGATCTTTGCGGTGACATTCGATCCGCGAATTCATGTTTAGCGCGAATATTTGTGCACCAATAATTTCTTAATAGTGACATTTTCACGCTTCTATAGAGTATAGAACAATGTTTATCAATGTGTTATATGCTTTCAATACATACCATATTATTAAAATTATTACCTAGTAATTGTGTTTTGTTTTCAAAGTTTTTCATCAGTTTAAATTGTTTATGTTTGTGTTGTTTAGAAAAACACAAAATATGATCTGATCATTAGTCAAGACGTTTATGATGCAAACTGTGAAAAAGCATGCACGTTAACGGGCATTCTTTTGTTTGCCATAATGTGTTTGCTAGACAATGTCTTTGTTCTTGATTATAGCATATTATTTGACACCAGGTATTGAAAATAACTGTGAACTCCAACAATGATTACAGTATATTTTTTTTAACCTGAGGGGTGGTCTACGCGAATTTATGATTTTCAGCAGTCACCTCCGCGAATTCAAAATAGCGCGAATATTTGTATGGACCCCCAAATTGGACCTTTCCGCAAAAATTTGCTTCCGCGAATTCAAATACACACAGTATTTAATGGGACGTCTGAACAATAAAACTATTTGTTACATTGTTGTGTTAACATTAAAAAAGAAAAAAGGGTACAAATCTAACATTATGAGTTAAATATTTTTTCTACTTTGTTGTAGATATGGAGTGGGTGGTACAGTGTTTGGATCAGACTCAAAGATCGTAGAGTCCTGGAGGCCAGCTCACACCTTGAGAGGACATGCTGGAGGTGTGTGTAATGGTTTTCTCCATTTTGTTGCAATTTTTGTTGAAATACTCTTTTCTCCTATTGTACATTTGTATAGGTATTTGTATAGTGAACAAATAAGTAAATAAGTAGCCATTTAAAGCTCTATGCTTTTAGTTAGTAGAACAAAGTCTCATAAAAAGTAATTGGTAAAATAGGAAAAGTTCGAGCAATGAATAGATATTCTATATGATTCTTCTTATGCCTGTTGCAGAATTTGACTGAATTCACTTTGTTAGCTGGAGTTTACGATGAATAGCTAGATCTGCTATATTTATCCCAGTATCAGTGTCAAACAGTTTTTATGCTCCCCGAAAAATTTCGGGGGAGCATATAGTCGTCGGGTTGTCCGTCAGTCCGTACGTACGTACGTCCCGAATTCGTGTCCGGCCCATAACTTTGTTATTTGAAGTCAGATTTTAAAATTATTTCACAGAAGTGGTTTATGAGTCGCGCACAATATTTGGGTCGCTACCTTGAAGGTCAAGGTCACAGCATGACCTTGCAGCAAAATCGTGTCCGGTCCATAACTTCATTATTTGAAGTCGGACTTTAAAAATATTTTACCGAAATGATCACCATATTGAGACGACGTGTCACGCACAACATTTGGGTGGCTACCTTGAAGGTCAAGGTCACAGCATGACCTTGCAGCAAAATAGTGTCCGGTCCATAACTTTGTTATTTGAAGTTGGATTTTAAAAATATTTCACAGAAATGATCACCATATTGAGACGCATGTCGCGCGCAACATTTGGATCGCTACCTTGAAGGTCAAGGTCACAGCATGACCTTGCAGCAAAATCGTGTCCGGTCCATAACTTTGTTATTTGAAGTCGGATTTAAAAAATATTCCACAGAAATGATCACCATATTGAGACGATGTGTCGCACGCAACATGTGGGTCGCTTCCTTGAAGGTCAAGGTCACAGCATGACCTTGCAGCAAAATCGTGTCCGGCACATAACTTCATTATTTGAAGTCGGATTTTACAACTATTTCACAGAAATGATCACCACAATGAGACATTGTGTCGCGCGCAACATTTGGGTCTCTACCTTGAAGGTCAAGGTCACGGTATGACCTTGCAGCAAAATAATGTCAGGCGCATAACTTCGTTATTTGAAGTCGGATTTTACAACTATTTCACAAAAATGATCACCATATTGAGACAATGTGTCGTGCACAATATTTGGGTTGTTTTTACACTTTGAACTTTGTCTGTGACATAACTCTGACACAACAAGAGGTATACCTTCCTGTGTCCAAAACCTATTCGGGGAGCATCACCCGGTTCAACCGGCTCTTGTTTTATATTACCGCAATAAAATTATCTACTTTCATTACGTAAAGCTGTGCTTGCAAATCTTGATAATTTTTCGGTAATTTATTTGGACTGCAAGTGCCAATAGATGCAACCAAAGGTTATTTATTTGCTTACTTGACTGTAATTTAACTATGTTTAACACTATGGAATTACAATGTTTATCATAAAGCTGCAATGACCCTTACCACCCTAAATATTTTAGATGGACATGCCCATCTTCCAATTTTGACAAAATCATTTTTAGGAGAAATTTCAAAACATGCACTGCCTGACTGAGGAGCAAATACTGCAGACGATTTTTTTTAATCATATTAATAAAGTCACTGTGAAATGGTTACAGATGTGCTAGGATTGGCATGGTCACCCGGAGACGTGTGGTTAGCAACGTGTAGCATAGACAACACTATTATTGTTTGGAATGCGGAAAAATTCCCAGGTAAATGCGTGTTTTTCATGTCTACATCAACACATCAACATTACATAAATAGGCAGCTTTTATAAAAGATGTTTATAAGAAAACAAATACTGGATTCATGCTTTTTATACCCCGAAACAAAGTTTGGGGGGGGGGTGTATATAGGAGTCACTCGGTGGTCTGTGGGGCGGTCCGTTGGCATTTTCCTTGTCCGGAGCATAACTTGAAGACTAAGGTACAACTTCATACAATGGTCAAGCACATTGAGAGGAAGTGCAGTGCACAAGAATCATAACTCTATCTCCACTAATTACAGAGTTATTGCCCTTTGTTACTTTTCCTTGTCTGGAGCATTTGAAAAGTACTGGTTGGAATTTAAAACAACTTCATACTATGATCAAGCACAATAAGGGGAAGTGCAGTGCACAAAAACAATAATTCTATCTCAAGAAATTACAGAGTTATTGCCCTTTGTTACTTTTCCATTGCTTTCTTTTGTCGGACCATAACTTGAAGACTTATGGTTGGAACTCAATATAACTTCATACAATGGTCAAGCACATTAAAAGGAAGTGCAGTGCACAAGAACCAAACTCTATCTAAAGTAATAACAGAGTTATTGCCCTTAGTTACTTTTCCATTGCTTTCTTTGGTCAGGACCATAACTTGCAGATTAATGGTTCGAATTCAATATAACTTCATACAATGGTCAAGCGCATTAAGAGGAAGTGCAGTGCACAAGAACCATAACTCCATGTTGACTAATTACAGAGTAAGTGCAGTGCACAAGAACCATAACTCTGTCCAGAGTAATTATAGAGTTATTGTCCTTTGTTACTTTTCCATTGCTTTTTAGCTCACCTGTCACAAAGTGACAGGGTGAGCTTTTGTGATCCCTTTTCGTCTGGCGTCCGTCTGTAAACTTTTACTTTAAATGACATCTCCTCATAAACCACAAAGCCAATTTCATCCAAACTTCACAGGAATGTTCCTTTGGTGGTCACCTTTAAAAATTGTTCAAAGAATTTAATTCCATGCAGAACTCTTGTTGCCATGGCAACCGAAAGAAAAAACTTTAAATATCTTCTTTTAAAGAACCAAAAGAGTTAGAGCTAAGATATTTAGCATGAAACATGTTCTAATAAGTGTCTACCAAGTTTGTTCAAATAAAAGCCCTCGGGTCAAAATTGGCCCCGCCCCGGAGGGTCATTTATTTTCCCTATATGCATATAGTAAAAACTTAAAAAAATCTTCTTTTAAAGAACTCAAAGAGCTATGGCTAAGATATTTAGCATCAAACATGTTCTAATAGGTGTCTACCATGTTTGTTCAAATAAAAGCCCTCGGGTCAAAATTGGCCCCGCCCCGGAGGGTCATTGATTTTCCCTATATGCATATAGTAAAAACTTAAAAAATCTTCTTTTAAAGAACCAAAAGAGTTAGAGCTAAGATATTTAGCATGAAACATGTTCTAATAAGTGTCTACCAAGTTTGTTCAAATAAAAGCCCTGGGGTCAAAATTGGCCCCGCCCCGGGGTGTCATTGATTTTCCCTATATGCATATAATAAAAACTTAAAAAATCTTCTTTTAAAGAACTCAAAGAGCTATGGCTAAGATGTTTAGCATCACACATGTTCTAATAGGTGTCTACCAAGTTTGTTCAAATAAAAGCCCTGGGGTCAAAATTGGCACCGCCCCGGGGGTCATTGATTTTCCTTGTATGTGTATAGCAAAAACTTAAAAAATCTTCTTTGAAAAAACCCAAATAGCTAGAGTTAAGATATTAAGCATGAAACATCTTTTAGTGAGTGTCTACAAAGTTTGTTCAAATAAAAGACCTGGGGTCAAAATTGGCCCCGCCCCGGGGGTCATTGATTTTTATGCCCCCGCCATATAATGGCAGGGGCATATAGTGTTACCCTGTTCCGTCCTTCCGTCATCATCAGTTTCCGTTCATTATCTTAATAACCCTTGCACATATTGAACTCAAATTTGACATATGGATATGTCATGAGGAAATACAGGTCAAGTTCGAAATTGGTCATGGTTTCGATGATTTTTGGCAGAGTTATGCCCCTTTTACATTGAAAATAATATGAAATTTTCAGTTTCCGTTCATTATCTCCCAAACGATTCAAAACTTTCAATTCAAAATTGACATATGGATATGTCATGAGAAAATACAGGTCAAGTACGAAATTGGTCATGGTTCGATGATTTTTGGCAGAGTTATGCCCCTTTTACTTTGAAAATAATATGAAATTTTCAGTTTCCGTTCATTATCTCCCCAACGGTACAACACATTCAACTCAAACTTGACATATTGATATGTCATTAGAAAATACAGGTCAAGTTCAAATTTGGTCATGGTTCGATGATTTTTGGCAGAGTTATGCCCCTTTTACTTTGAAAACAATATGAAATTTTCAGTTTCCGTTCATTAACTCCCCAATGGTACAACACATTCAACTCAAACTTGACATATGGATACGTTAAAGTAATGCGCAGGTCAAGTTCAAATTTGGTCATGGTTCAATGATTTTTGGCAGAGTTATGCCCCTTTTACTTTGAAAATAATATGAAATTTTCAGTTTCTGTTTATTATCTCCCCAACAGTATTAAACATTCAACTCAAATTTGACATATTGATACGTCAAAGGAATGCGCAGGTCAATTTCAAATTTGGTCATGGTTCGATGATTTTTGGCAGAGTTATGCCCCTTTCACTTTAAAAATAATATGAAATTTTCAGTTTCCGTTTATTATCTCCCCAACAATATTACACATTCAACTCAAATTTGACATATGGATATGTTTTTGGAATGCCCAGGCCAAGTTCGAATCTGGTCATGGTTCAATGATTTTTGGCAGAGTAATGCCCCTTTCACTTTGAAAATGATATGAAATTTACAGTTTCTGTTCATTATCAACCCAACAGTGTTACATATTCAACTCCAAATTGACATATGGATATGTCAAAGGAATGCGCAGGTCAAGTTGGAATTTGGTCATGGTTCGATGATTTTTTGGCAGAGTTATGTCCCTTTCACTTTGAAAATAATATAGATACATCTTAGGAATAAGCAGTTTAAGTTTGAATTTGGTCGTGGTTCAATGATTTTAGACAAACTTATCTTTCCTGAATGTTGGAAAAATTTTGAACTTTCAGTTTCAGCACTCATACTTTTGTGGAAATGTATATAGCCATTATTTTGGCTACAAATATGCAATATGCTATTTTTAAAAGGTTAAGACTGAATAATTTCAGTGCCTTGAACATTGTATAAAAATGGTTTGTGTTAACATTGAAAAGTTTTAAGGGCTTTGAACTTAGAATGAAAAAAATAATTTGTGCAAACAAATTTGGAACTAAATATTATAACATTTGAAATTTTGGCTGCATGCGGGGGCATCCGTGGCATGATGACACATTTCTAGTCTTTATATGTGTATAGCAAAAACTTAAAATCTTCTTTGAAAAAACCCAAATAGCTAGAGTTTAGATATTAAGCATGAAACATCTTCTAGTAAGTGTCTACAAAGTTTGTTCAAATAAAAGCCCTGGGGTCAAAACTGGCCCGGCCCCAGGGGTGTCATTGTTTTTAACTATATGTGTATACTAAAAACTTTAAAAAAATCTTCTTTTAAAAAGCCCAATGAGCTAGAGCTTAGATGTTTAGCATGAAACATCTTCTTATGGGTGTCTACCAAGTTTGTGCAAATAAAAGCCCTTGGGTTAAATTGGCCCTGCAACATTGGGGGTTGGGGGTTGGGGGGGGCCTATATACAGGTGAGCGACCTCAGGGCCATCATGACCCTCTTGTTTCTTGTCCAGAGCATAATTTAAAAGACTAGTTTTTGGAATTCAATACTATTTTGACTCATTACAGTTATTGCCCTTTGTTACTTTTTTGTCCAGTGCATAACTTGATAACTAGTAGTTGGAATTCAATACAACTTCATACAGTGCTCAAGAAGCGTAACTCTTTCTGGATTTATTACAGAGTAATTAAATAAAACTTCATCAATGGTCAACCATATTGTAAGGAAATGCAACATACAAAAACCGCAACTTTCTTTAATTGCCCACAACCATAACTCTATTTCAATTCTTTTACAAGGTATTCTGTTACTTGGAACTTCCTCATTTCCGAAGCAGTCTTGCAGGGGTATTAATCACATCTTGTGATAGTTCTAGTTATCTTTAATTACAGAATATGTATATGGTTAAAAGTTACCTAATATTTTTTTGAGAAAAGAGAAAATATCTGAGACATGGTTCCCCAGATGTTATTATTATGTTTATATTTCAAAAGTTTGATGACAAAAAAAATAAAAAATGACTTTGATATGACAATTTAAATTTTTAGAATTTTTGTTCATCATCAATTATTTACAAAGGCATTTTTTTTTTCAAATATGTTATTTTTTAAGATGATCAAAGACATTTATGCACAAAGTTTAAATCAGTAACACTTGTAACTAAAATAAGTTGGTTTAAATGACATTTATGGTAGTACCAGGGAAAGTGTCTGTTGTCGCCTTAAACAGGGTCATTTTATATGTAGGGTATATATATAAAATAAACACTAGACTATTATACAAGGTACATTTATAAAACAATACTTATAATAATAACTGCCAATAATATAAATATTGCCAACAATAGAATACTAGCTAAAACTGTTTTGATTACTGTATAAAAAAGCTTGGAAAAAAATTCACCTTATAAACCAAAATTTAAAATACATTTTCATGAGCAATACTGGTCCTCTACACAAGATGCTCTTACTTCTCAAATGTAAAGTCAGATATTCAAAGTCAATGAAGTTGGAATCATTCAATCAATTTAACATGTTTAATGGTATTTCAAAATAATATGTGATAAAAGTGTAACGACAGGCCTACATTTTGTCGTTTTAGCTGTTTGATATCATTGAAAATTAAAGTCTCCATACTTTTTTTTAGCTCACCTGTCACAAAGTGACAGGGTGAGCTTTTGTGATCGCTTTTCATCCGG